GTGTGTGTGTGTTTCGCGGATTGTTTATAGGTGTGTTTATTGCTCTGTAGTATTTTCCCATCAGTAAGGGTGTGTCTGTATTTTTCCTTTGCGATCTTATGTCTCTGCGTGTGTATTTGTTTTGTCTGTGTGAGAATGTGGAATTTAGGAGTAGTCTATTTTGTAGATTAAACCTTAGTGTCCAAGATAATCAAAGTAGTGGATTTCAAAGAGTGTTTGTCTAAATAGCTGCTCAGGGATGCAAAAATGCCTCACTGTCTGCTCTCTATTACCACAAGACATAACAGTATGTCCATCCCTAGGACAGATATTTAACATCTTATCGACTCAATATTAACTGCCGCTTTTATCTCCCAGCGGATCTCCCAGCACCACTGTATGGTATCTGGTGAACTTGATAAGGCCTAGTTATCTAACAGTTACAGTGGGGGGGGAAAGTATTTAGTAAGCCACCAATTGTGCAAGTTCTCCCACTTAAAAAGATGAGAGAGGCCTGTAATTTTCATCATAGGTACACATCAACTATGACAGACAAATGGAGGGAAAAAAATCCAGAAAATCACATTGTGGGATTTTTTATGAATTTATTTGCAAATTATGGTGGAAAATAAGTATTTGGTCACCTACAAACAAGCAAGATTTCTGGCTCTCACAGACCTGTAACTTCTTCTTTAAGAGGCTCCTCTGTCCTCCACTCATTACCTGTATTAATGGCACCTGTTTGAACTTGTTATCAGTATAAAAGACACCTGTCCACAACCTCAAACAGTCACACTCCAAACTCCACTATGGCCAAGACCAGAGAGCTGTCAAAGGACACCAGAAACAAAATTGTAGACCTGCACCAGGCTGGGAAGACTGAATCTGCAATAGGTAAGCAGCATGGTTTGAAGAAATCAACTGTGGGAGCAATTATTAGGAAATGGAAGACATACAAGACCACTAATAATCTCCCTCGATCTGGGGCTCCACGCAAGATCTCACCCCGTGGGGTCAAAATAATCACAAGAACGGTGAGCAAAAATCCCAGAACCACACGGGGGACCTAGTGAATGACCTGCAGAGAGCTGGGACCAAAGTAACAAAGCCTACCATCAGTAACACACTACGCCGCCAGGGACTCAAATCCTGCAGTGCAAGACGTGTTCCCCTGCTTAAGCCAGTACATGTCCAGGCCCGTCTGAAGTTTGCTAGAGTGCATTTGGATGATCCAGAAGAGGATTTGGAGAATGTCATATGGTCAGATGAAACCAAAATAGAACTTTTTGGTAAAAACTCAACTCGTCGTGTTTGGAGGACAAAGAATGCTGAGTTGCATCCAAAGAACACCATACCCACTGTGAAGCATGGGGGTGGAAACATCATGCTTTGGGGCTGTGTTTCTGCAAAGGGACCAGGACGACTGATCAGTGTAAAGGAAAGAATGAATGGGGCCATGTATCGTGAGATTTTGAGTGAAAACCTCCTTCCATCAGCAAGGGCATTGAAGATGAAACGTGGCTGGGTCTTTCAGCATGACAATGATCCCAAACACACCGCCCGGGCAACGAAGGAGTGGCTTCGTAAGAAGCATTTCAAGGTCCTGGAGTGGCCTAGCCAGTCTCCAGATCTCAACCCCATAGAAAATCTTTGGAGGGAGTTGAAAGTCTGTGTTGCCCAGCGACAGCCCCAAAACATCACTGCTCTAGAGGAGATCTGCATGGAGGAATGGGCCAAAATACCAGCAACAGTGTGTGAAAACCTTGTGAAGACTTACAGAAAACGTTTGACCTGTGTCATTGCCAACAAAGGGTATATAACAAAGTATTGAGAAACTTTTGTTATTGACCAAATACTTATTTTCCACCATAATTTGCAAATAAATTCATTAAAAATCCTACAATGTGATTTTCTGGATTTTTTCTCATTTTGTCTGTCATAGTTGACGTGTACCTATGATGAAAATTACAGGCCTCTCTCATCTTTTTAAGTGGGAGAACTTGCACAATTGGTGGCTGACTAAATACTTTTTTCCCCCACTGTATATCTGGTCTGCTAAATAGATCTGTTTATTGGTCATCAAATCCATTGATATATCGACCTGTAATAAGAACAGCTACAGTGAGGGAAAAAAGTATTTGATTTTGTACGTTTGCCCACTGATAAAGAAATGATCAGTCTACAATTTTAATGGTAGGTTTATTTGAACAGTGAGAAACAGAATAACAACAAAAAAATCCAGAAAAACGCATGTCAAAAATGTTATAAATTGATTTGTATTTTAATGAGGGAAATAAGTATTTGACCCCCTCTCAATCAGAAAGATTTCTGGCTCCCAGGTGTATTTTATACAGGTAACGAGCTGAGATTAGGATCACACTCTTAAAGGGAGTGCTTCTAATCTCAGCTTGTTACCTGTATAAAAGACACCTGTCCACAGAAGCAATTAATCAATCAGATTCCAAACTCTCCACCATGGCCAAGACCAAAGAGCTCTCCAAGGATGTCAGGGACAAGATTGTAGACCTACACAAGGCTGGAATGCGCTACAAGACCATCGCCAAGCAGCTTGGTGAGAAGGTGACAACAGTTAGTGCGATTATTCGCAAATGGAAGAAACACAAAATAACTGTCAATCTCCCTCGGCCTGGGGCTCCATGCAAGATCTCACCTCGTGGAGTTGCAATGATCATGAGAACGGTGAGGAATCAGCCCAGAACTACATGAGAGGATCTTGTCAATGATCTCAAGGCAGCTGGGACCATAGTCACCAAGAAAACAATTGGTAACACACTACGCCGTGAAGGACTGAAATCCTGCAGCGCCCGCAAGGTCCCCCTGCTCAAGAAAGCACATATACAGGCCCGTCTGAAGTTTGCCAATGAACATCTGAATGATTCAGAGGAGAACTGGGTGAAACGGTGAGGAATCAGCCCAGAACTACACGAGACGATCTTGTCAATGATCTCAAGGCAGCTGGGACCATAGTCACCAAGAAAACAATTGGTAACACACTACGCCGTGAAGGACTGAAATCCTGCAGCGCCCGCAAGGTCCCCTGCTCAAGAAAGCACATATACAGGCCCGTCTGAAGTTTGCCAATGAACATCTGAATGATTCAGAGGAGAACTGGGTGAAAGTGTTGTGGTCAGATGAGACCAAAATCGAGCTCTTTGGCATCAACTCGCTGTGGAGGAGGAGGAATGCTGCCTATGACCCCAAGAACACCATCCCCACCGTCAAACATGGAGGTGGAAACATTATGCTTTGGGGGTGTTTTTCTGCTAAGGGGACAGGACAACTTCACCACATCAAAGGGACGATGGACGGGGCCATGTACCGTCAAATCTTGGGTGAGAACCTCCTTCCCTCAGCCAGGGCATTGAAAATGGGTCGTGGATGGGTATTCCAGCATGACAATGACCCAAAACACACGGCCAAGTCAACAAAGGAGTGGCTCAAGAAGAAGCACATTAAGGTCCTGGAGTGGCCTAGCCTGTCTCCAGACCTTAATCCCATAGAAAATCTGTGGAGGGAGCTGAAGGTTCGAGTTGGCAAACCTCAGCCTCGAAACCTTAATGACTTGGAGAAGATCTGCAAAGGGGAGTGGGACAAAATCCCTCCTGAGATGTGTGCAAACGTGGTGGCCAACTACAAGAAACGTCTGACCTCTGTAATTGCCAACAAGGGTTTTGCCACCAAGTACTAAGTCATGTTTTGCAGAGGGGTCAAATACTTATTTCCCTCATTAAAATGCAAATCAATTTATAACATTTTTGACATGCGTTTTTCTGGATTTTTTTGTTGTTATTCTGTCTCTCACTGTTCAAATAAACCTACCATTAAAATGATAGACTGATCATGTCTTTGTCAGTGGGCAAACGCACAAAATCAGCAGGGGATCAAATACTTTTTTCCCTCACTGTGTTAACATTTGCCCCCATGTACAATGTGGAAGTGCTTCTTAACTGTTACACAACTCTTTGTGTTTGTGTGTGTGTGTGAGCATGCATGACTTTGTGTATGCGCTCATATTTTCCACTGTAAGGCTAGGAAAAGTGCATAGTCACTTTGTCACTTTACCCCTACCTACACGTACAAATGACCTGGACTAACCTGTACCCCCGCACATTGACTCGGTACCGGTAACCCCTGTAAATAGCCTCATTATTGTTATTTTATAATGTTATTTTTTACTTTTGTTTATTTAGTAAATATTTTCTTAACTCTGTAGCTCAATTGGCAGAGCACGGCGCTTGTAACGCCCAGGGTAGTGGGTTCGATCCCCGGGACCACCCATACGTAAAAATGTATGCGCACATGACTGTAAGTCGCTTTGGATAAATTATTATTATTATTATATTATTATTGTTGATTAAGGGCTTGTAAGTAATCATTTCACGGTAAGATCTACACCTGTTGTATTTGGCGCATGTGACAAATAAAATTTTATTTTATTTGACACAGCATTCACCTACACACAACCCCCCCACAGTCACACACAACCCCATCCCCCTCCCCTCTCCCATTGAAGGTGAGACCCCATGTTGTCCTGTGAAAGAGGAAAACAATGACACTATGAGACATGGAAGGCTCTGCTCTGCTCTCTGTACGGTCCACAGGCATTGTCTGGCATCAGGTTTAATATTTAATATACTCCACATTCTTATACTATCCATAATTCAGAAAAATAAATGTTGCACCGGATCACTGAGTTTGAATGAAAAGAGAAGGGTTTGTTGTAGATATTCATACTGTAAAGTCAGGCTGCTTCTGTATGTGGGTTTGGTCTGTCTAGTCTCGAGACAGGTTAATGGTCAGGACATTGGAGAGGCAAAGCAATGTCCTCTGGGGTGCATCAACCTCATCGGTACAAGTTGACTTCGCTGGGTCTTTACAGTAACAAACATCACATTAAAACAGGTTTCAGTGTAGATGTGTTTGAGGTTGACACAAACTCTAAGGTTGCCACCCAGTATGTGGGCATAAGAAAATGTGAAATGCTTTTTTATCTCCTCAGTCAAATATTTGTGACTGTGGTGGGGGAGGTTCTGAAGGAAAGACGGGTGCTGAGATGCCGGCAGGCGGCAGTGAGGTGGTGATTGGGATCGTCGGCTCCTGAGGGTCAGGTTGGGACTTGTTGAAGGGGAGGAGGAGAGGAGAGGTTGTCGCAAATGAACTGAGAGAGAGGTGAGGGGAGCTGAGTGCAGGGTGAGCGAGGGATGTGGACCTTTCAACACACAATGATTAGAGGTTATGCAAAAGAGAAAACTACAGAGAATAGATAAAAGCTCCTACTGTGACTTGGGTTAGCTTGCATGTGGGGTAACCTACTACTGTCCTTATAGGTCGTTTTGTCCAGCCCTTTCTTGTTGAAATGATATCCTCCCTGGTGGACTTCCACACACTAGGCTAGCTGGCTCTATTCTGTTCTGTTGTGGTGAAGCCACTAGCGGAGCCATAAGGAGTAAATAATCATCTTGTTTACAGGAGGTTGGGAGCCAATTTGTCTCCATTCAGTTTGTATTGGAGGAAAGAGTTTAATAGCTGTTCCTAAAGCTGTATACATTTGACAGTGTATTATAGCAATACGATTTATATGTGGCTATTCTATTGTTCTTGAACAGAGCTGCCAGTTTGTTAGCATGTGCATTTTGAGAGAGAGAGAGAAATCCACTGTGTGAATTATGAGCCTAACTACTATACTAGTACTGTAACACATTTCTTTCCATTCAAAGGTCCTTAATATTTCTTCATGTAGATCTTATTAAACACCAGAGAATTTAGCCACTTGCTTTTTTTGGGCTCATGCAAAGTTTGTTCTTAATCACGCCAAGGCTAATGTTTTAAATGTATTATTCATTTAGACATTTCACCCAACCTCGTAATTCCTCTCAGATTGGGGGTGTAGGCGGGCAGTTTTTTGTTGTTGTTCCGTGGTCGGTGGTGTTTTTCTCCTCTGTAGTGGAGAAATGAGAGGCGATGCCCCATGCGTGAGCTGGAGAAGGAGAAGAGAGGAGGGGTAGGGAGAAGAGAGGGAGAGAGACCACAGTGTGAAAACGTTGTCTTTGTGGGGACTCATGACTGCGTTAGCAGGGAGAGAGAGACTAGGCCTGTAAAAACTATTAGGGGGGGCTTTGGTCGGGAGAGGATGGAGAACTTCCCTCTCTTTCAAACATGTGTTATGATCTTTTTTCCTTTCACTTTTTTCACATTTCCTATTTCTTGGTCATCCCTCTTGCTCCCAAAATGATCTGATTTCTATTTTCTTCCCCCACTACTTTTCTCTTTCTTTTATATTTAACATTTTTGTCATTTAGCAGACACTCTTATCCAGCGACTTACAGGAGCTATTTGGATTAAGTGCCTTGCTCAAGGGCACATCGACAGATTTTTCACCAAGTCGGCTTGATGGTTCGAAACAGCTAATTTTCTGTTACTGCCCCAACGCTCTTAACCGCTAGGCTACTTGCCGCCCACATTTCTTGTAACGTAGGCTGTTAAATAAAAGGTGCTATAAAAAATGCTTCTCACCATCTCTCTTCCCAGTGCAGTGGATACCCCTTTCTAATTCTCAGTCTTTTCTCCTCTCTTTTTCTGTTCTCTCTCTCTCTATCTGTCCCCCTTACTCTCTCTCTCTCCTTCACTCAGACATAGTTCACACATATTGTTGGCTGGCAGTGTCCAGAGACTAGTGTGTAAATAAGGCCAGTCCATTTGGCTTGTGTGTGTGTGTGTTCTCTCTGCTCTTTGATAATTGGAAGGTGTCCTCTATTGCCTGGCAGCCTCTCTTATGGACAATCCCAATATGAGAGCTTTGGCAGACCAATAATACTGATCCCAGGACACTGCCCCACACTGATGCATCCAGCAACACACACACATAAATGCATGCACACACACATACACACATACACACACACACGGTACATTTATACACATCTTCTTCTGTCTCTCATGGGGACACACACTCTCATACAAACACACACAAGACAAAAACGTCACTCCTGACTGACTGTGTGAGTGCCGAGGCTAGAGTGGGGACAGAGTTGGCATCCCGTACTGTTAGAGTAGACCTTCCACCCCAGAACCCAATCCCCTCCACCTTCGCCTGCTTCTGCCCACACTGCCCAGTTTACATTCCCCACACATGCTGGTGCAGAACAAATCTATCGAGAGAGGCGTAGAGAGAGAGCGAAGATGGATAGCGAGCGATGATAGTGATAGTATGATGCGTCTAGCAGCTAGCGATAGCTCTGCGTAGCGACTTGAGTCTGATCTCTCTCTCTCTACTATACTCTATCATCTCTCTCATCTATCTATCATCTCGCTATCGTCTTCGTATCTTTTCTTTCTCTATCTCTCTTCTCTGTCTCTCTGTGGTTGGCCTGGGGGGGGGGGGGGGGGGGGGGGGGGGGGACTGTTTGTTGATAATCTAGATAAGCTACCAGGCTCCCTAAAAACAAGCCTGGGGTTTCAGGGATATGATAGTAGCCACGCGTTTGGCTATCTGTTCTGTCTCTGAGGAAGTCCATGTGGGGGAGGGATATTCTTTACAGTATGTGTGTGCCTGTGTAAGTGAAAACATAGTGATTGTATTTCATATATAATATTTTGGTAGTTTTTTGGACTGATCTTTTTGTGATTGTGTATCTATGTGTACATATTCTGTCCATTTTCCTTAACTTTCTTCTTCTTCTGTCTCTCTGTCTGTGCCCCTCTAGGCCCTTACCCTCGGGCAGTAGCCCCCCCTGGTGGTTGGAGGGGGATGGAGCGTGGTGGCGGGGAGAGCCCCCGCATGCAGGACAGTCCTGAGCGGGAACGGCGGGGGGGCAGCCCGGACCTCAGTGGACCCCCGCCAGGGAAGATAAGGCGTTTGGAGCTCAATGGGAGCCCCACTGGGCCACGCCTCCTACTCCACAACGGCAACCCACACAGACCTCTGGGAGGTAGGACACTCCAAAACACACCCACCGTGTGCACTTGTACACATTGATAGAAACTACCTTCCATCCAATGTTTTACACCAATCCAATGCTTTTAAATCCATGATGAGGAGTGTGCAAGTGTGGAGAATCAGGATACAGCCACATCCCTGATAGTTAGTCTCCCTTTGTCTTTGCCCTACTCTCTCTCTCTGGCCCTTACCTTCTGGTAATTAGGACCAGAACGGGAGTTTTGGACGCACTCCTGACCTTAGTTATACTGCACATTGCCATACACTCTAGAGTTCACAAGGCCCATTGCAGTATTACATAGGACTGTATAATAAGCCTAATCCTTAGCATTGAGTTTGGATCAATTCAATCCCATACCAGGCTGTGCTGTTTAGATCTAGTGCGCTCCATAAGAGTGCCGTGGGAACTATATAACACTGAGGTTATTGAATAAAGTAGGGCTATATAAAGCTGATTTATACTCCTCTCTAGGTTATCGATCGCTCTGCATACATAAGGTTGTTAATGTATGTGTGAGAATATACAGTGCACACACACACACACACACACACAATAGAGAATATTAGAGAAGAGACAGGAAACTTGGAGATGCGCGTGAGAGGAGATAGGGGGGAAATGAGGGAGATGGTACTTCTCTTCCTGTGCCCTAGCAGCAGCTGGAGTGGATGGTTAGTTTTAATGAGGAGTTGTCTTTGAAGGTAGGAAACTCAATGTGTCTCCTCCAAACCACAGCCCAGTCATGAGGACTAGGCCAAACACACAGTCACATACAGTGTATACATTCTATGGAACACTCTCACATTCAGATGCATACTATTGAACACATTCACACAAACACACTGTAGGCCTATGAACACTCACACAGTATACACACATTCAGTTATACAGTACATTCATAGATCTCTAGATTCATACACTGAACAAAAATATAAACACAACATGTAAAGTGTTGGTCCCATGTTTCATGAGCTGAAATAAAAGATACCAGAAATTTTCCATACGCACATTAAGCTTATTTCTCTCCGATTTTCTGCACAAATTTGTTTACATCCCTGTTAGTGAGCATTTCTAATTGCCAAGATAATCCATACACCTGACAGGTGTGATATATAAAGAAGCTGATTAAACAGCATGATCTTTACACAGGTGCACCTTGTGCTGGGGACAATAAACGGCCACTCTAAAATGTGCAGTTTTGTCACACAACACAATGCCACAGATGTCTCAAGTTTTGAGGGAGCGTGCAACTTGCATGCTGATTGCAGGAATGTCCACCAGAGCTGTTGGCAGAGAATTGAATGTGAATTTCTCTACCATAAGCTGCCTCCAACGTCGTTTTAGAGAATTTGGCAGTATGTCCAACCGGCCTCACAACCGCAGACCTTGTGTATGGCGTTGTGTGGGTGAGCGGTTTGCTGATGTCAACATTGTGAACCATGTGCCCCATGGTGGTGGTGGCGTTATGGTATGGGCAGGCATAAACTACGTACAACGAATACAAGTGCATTTTATTGATTAGCAATTTGAATGCACAAAAATACAGCGACGAGATCCTGAGCCCCATTGTGAGGCCCATTTTATTAAAGGTATCTGTAACCAACAGATGCATATCTGTATTCCCAGTCATGTGAAATCCATAGATTAGGGCCTAATGAATTTATTTCAATTGACTGATTTACTCATATGAACTATAAATCAGTAAAATCTTTGAAATTGTTGCATGTTGCGTTTATATTTTTGTTCAGTATAGATCACACACATGCATATATTTAGAGCATATACAGTATTACACATGTCCATTGCCCACATAATCCCAATTACTTAACAAGGCTAAAGGAATCTAGGCATCCTTCCAGGTACCTCGACTGAGTCGACTGATAAGCAGAAGACGAGAACTCGAGAGAGTGTACCGGAGAGTGAGACTCGCATCGACGCAGAGAGAGACGAGCGATGTTCGACTGACCCAGTTAGTTAGACGCCGCCCGCTTTGAGCAACGAGTGCGACAGAGAACGGAAATCCCTGTGATGTTTACTTGAGCAGCAGCAGCGGAACGACGTAGGACCTAGTCACGAGTTATTGAGACTCTGCAGTAACCGAATGACTCCATCTTCTTTAGTGTTACGTCCCCCCTAATTCATTGTTCCCCGTGGATTCTTCATCTACTTTTTCACCTCTTCACCCCCTGGTTTTTCCACTTTCCCCCATCCCTTTATAATCTATTATCGTTCTCCTCGCCTCACCGTTTTGAGGTTGGCCGGGTACCACCCCCCTTTTACGCTATTCCTCTCGCATCCTTTCCCGACCCGGATCCTCCTCTCGGTTCCTCGTCACGTCGCTGGTCGACTGTTCTTTGTTTCACGCGTTACCCTAATGTCCCTTACATCGTACTGACCTTTCAAACACCATTTTCTGCATCAACTTCCTCCTGATATCCGTGTATCATCGTTCTCATCTGTCTCTAATTGCAGTTGACATCACCCCCCTTTCCTTTTCCTAACTTACTTGATTTCCCTCATACATCCTAAAGGTCTCCGCTTTCCAGCGTATCACTTTATACTTCACCCGTCCCCTTTTCTTTTCGCGTTGCGAGTGTCCTTGCCACCTCATACTACCACACCTGACACACCCGCTGTCCTGCTAGGCGTTTCTTCCCTTCACCTTGACTTACCCATTTTACATCACCTCTCCCGTCTTTTCCTTCTTACTTGTCTGTTGCTCTTCCACTATTCCCTCCACCTGACGTTTCCCTCCTCTGTGTTATTAATGCTCCGACGAGATTCGGAGAGAGAGATGAGAGATGAGAGACGAGAGAGAGGAGAGAGTACGTAAGGAGAGAGAGAGACTTTGCTCATTGACCGGATGAGAGTAGAGAGGGGGAGAGAGAGAGAGGAGAGAGAGAGAGGGGAGGAGGAGGAGAGAGGGAGAGAGAGAGAGAGAGAGGAGAGATGGAGCTGCTCTGTGTTGACAGTTATATTTCCCTGTTGGGGGAAATTCACTTACTTGAATTGGCACAGAGCTACAGTGTGTAATTCACTCCATAAGAGCCCATCGAACTGCAAGCCGGGATGATTAATGGAGAGGAAATAGAAATATAGGAATTGACTGATTAAAACAAGGGAGGGGGGGGGGCTCTAATGGTGCTGCTGTACTGTGTGTGTGTGTGTGCGTGTGTGTGTGTGTGTGTGCGTGTGTGTGTGTGTGTGGTATTGCTCTACTCTTATTATTAGTGCTGGGTGTTTGCCTAATGCTCAGACCCTCATTTCTTGTGAGAGCCTTAATTAATTGCCAGTCGACAGGTGGCCTACAATCAAAAGCTTTCAGGAAAAATAGGGATATTGGTGAAGGAGAACTCATGTTGTTGCTGTTAGCCAAAAGGATAGTGATATCTGATAGTGGGGTGGGATTTTGGGAGTGGGACCAAAAATAAAAAATACAAATTCCCATAATGAAAGATTGAGAATTAGTCTAGTTTAAATGTTGACTATTGTGTTAACCAGCTACTATTGCTACTGCTTACAAGTTATCATTCTATAGTGCGCTACATAATAACTACTGTAGTAGGGTGAGGATCTACAGAAAACCACAGCAGTTGAAACAATATTGAATATGGGGCGAAAAACATCATGCCTAGATAGCTGGGAGTGAAAGAGCCCTAGTTGTCAACTGATGTGGTCAGGAAAAACTCCTGGCCTCTACTCACTGCATTCTTTGACAGTTTGTGTGACTGCCCGACCGACGTTGGTGACCTGTGGGCAGGTAACGGTGCCAGGTCTGATGTGAAAGAAGGCTCTGGGCAGTTAAGAAAAGTATGTAGGCATGGTGTGGACCATTATCACTCTGGGAACGGTTACCATGCTCCAGCTTTATCCATGAAATTAGCAGTTCAATTATAAATAATCTACAAGGACCTGCAATAAATCGTCCAAAGCAGAGCCGTTCGAACTTGCATAGCATGTCTACTAAATTATGGAAGTGATAAACTGATAAAGGACACAATAGCTTGTATTAGCGTTTGATCCAGAAAGCACCAACTGTACTCTTGTGGCATTCAATCAATGTAAATAACTTATGAAAAGCAGTCTCAAGCTTATCAATATCAATTGATATTGACACTTTGAATGGTGATTCTCTCTGCTAACCTTTTATGATGTCTTTGGATAGCCATTGTTATTTCACCTTTAATCTAAAGAATATCCTTGCCATTAGATTAGGTCCTCTGTAGCTCAGCTGGTAGAGCACGGCGCTTGTAACGCCAAGGTAGTGGGTTTGATCCCCGGGACCACCCATACGCAAAAAATGTATGCACGCATGACTGTAAGTCGCTTTGGATAAAAGCGTCTACTAAATGGCATATTATTATGTTAGCTACTGTCTATTACTTGGAGAGGATTTAAGAGACAATACTACAACTGAATAAACAGCCATTGAAATTATCCATTGATTGTTTCAGGTAATTTGCATTTGCACATTTCAAAAGAACTATACATATAATATATAAAGTATTCCATGCAGACCTAATTAGACTGAATATTTTACCTTCTTAGCATAAGATTTACTTAGCCTAACATTGGGTCAATTGAATGATGCTTAAGAGGGCGAATACTACGGATGAGATGCGTAGTCGCTAGCTTCTGATCTTGATCTCTTCCGTAGCTCGCCTCCGCTCTCCTCTCTATCGCTTGCTCATCTACTCTCTTCTCTCTCTACTCTCTCTCTCTCTCTCTCTCTCTCTCTCTCTCTCTCTCTCTCTCTCTCTCTCCCATGTCCCCCCCTCCAGGTCTGATGATCCCAGTGTTCTGTGTGGTGGAGCAGGCAGGGCCTGATGGAAGGATGCAGCGTGAACGAGAGCGTGAGGAAGTGGAGAGGAATGAGGGACACAGAGAGGAGCATGCTGAGTTTGTCCTGGTCAGGAAGGATATCCTCTTCAACCAGCTGGTGGAGACGGCCCTGCTGGCCCTGGGGTACTCCCACAGCTCAGCCGCTCAGGCCCATGGTGAGTACTGTAGCCTACACACTGACCCACAGTCAGACTACTGTATCAACGAAGCACCAGCCATAAAGACTCTACCTGCTACTGAGTTAGAGCTGTAACTGATCTAGGGCCAGTTAGCAATACAGCTGAAAACAGTTCTCCCACAGAGTCTGCACATAATAATAATAATAATATGCCATTTAGCAGACGCTTTTATCCAAAGCGACTTACAGTCATGCGTGCATCCATTTTTGTGTATGGGTGGTCCCAGGGATCGAACCCACTACCTTGGCGTTACAAGCGCCGTGCTCTACCAGCTGAGCTACAGAGGACCACACACATACACACACCTGGTACAGAGTTAGCGCTTTATTTCAATATTTCTCCACTGGAATCTGGCAATGCAAAACGCCAGCCCAATACTGTAGGCCTACTTAACACTTAAAGTTATCACCTTGGAACAGGGTGTATTTTCGACTGATCTGTGACCAGTAAACACAACAGACCAGCTCTAAACAGATTAACTGGTACTGAGTTCGAGCTTTGGCACTGCTGTATTCCAACTGATCTAGGACCAATTCACACACCGATCTAGGACGAGGCCAACTACACAAAGTGTTAGAGAGCACACAGCAATAATTGACTGTAAGGGACTCTAGCCAGATGATACACTGACTGTTATGGTGTTTTGTGCTCTCAGGGAAGGACTAAGTAAAGAATGTTTGGAAAACACAACTAAAGAGCAGACAGTCTGAGAAACTCATTAAGCACAGAACAAAGAGTTGAAAAATAATGAGTCTAGTTCCTCCAAGAGGCAAAAATACTATGTGGATGACTACATTTGTCTAAGGATATGCACATGCTTTATTGTGTGTGTGCGTGCATGAGTGCTGTGTATGTGTGGGAATGTTTATGTGTGAGAGGTCTAGGGGAGGAACATAATAATGGTGGAATTTCTTGTTGCACACATGTTTGTCATCTCCAGGAGGACAGTGCAGTTTACTTGTGTTCACTAAACTGGGGGAGTTGCTTCACGTTGATATATGGTAATAATAGACACAACCAGGCAACTGACATACATTGACTTAAACTGAAATGGTGTGTGAATACTGGTGTGAATAATGGTGTGTGAATAATGGTGTGTGTGAATAATGGTGTGTGTGAATAATGGTGTGTGTGAATAATGGTGTGTGTGAATAATGGTGTGTGTGAATCTGCTTCTTTTCATGTCTCTACATTAAGAGTCTCATTGGTTTCTTAGGGGCTATTCATGGTAGTAGGCAATAACTGAACTGCCGCCCCTGTGTGTCAGAAAAATACCTACTTTTTGTTCTGTTGCTAGTATTGAATATGTATTGCAGTATTATTGCTATACATCAAGATAAGTCATTAAAAGTATCACTGTCATGGCCCCAGCTTTGTTTACCAGACAAGTAACAGCCAAGCCAAACAATGTGTCATCTGGAGAGGCTCTAATTTCAAATATCACGTCATTTATAGTTTGACCTGACAAATCTCATGTAGTGTGATGTACGTGAGAGACCTCACTTCATACAGTACACCCACACATCGTAACAGACAGACTGGCACAGCACAGGTAATCCCTGTTTACTGCCTCAAGGTCAACAACCCTTATCACTGTCTGAATGAACTCCTCTCTTCTCTGCTTTCCGTCACTTTCCTCTCTGCCAAACCACCTGAAACACACTGTACTGAACGGTACTCTGTACCCACTGTACCCATATGCTCTAACATGTTCCCTACATGAACTCCTCTTCTCTTCTTTTCTCTTCTGTCTGCTTTACTCTGCCATACTACCTGAACCACAGACTGTACTGTACTCTGTACCCCCCTGCTCTTACTGTCCCCTACATGACTCCTCCTGGGCTGAAAATACTACATTCATTATCAGAGGCGTCATGCCCATAGGGGGCACAGGGGCAAATGCCCCCTCAGATTTGTCCTGTATTTTTTACAAATAAGAATGTTGTTGTTGTTGTTTCTCTTATTACTACTAGCCACCTAGCAATTGTATGAAGTTGGCTTTAGCTAGCCCAGATAGGTTCCCAATCTCCCAACCTCATAACTAGCTACCAAGAAGCCATTTCAGGTTATCAATCAGGTTAGAGTAGCTAGCTTGTCTAACTATCTTAGCTGGCATGCCTGCTGGCAAGGTTGGTAGACTTTAGAAAAGCAACCAATAACTAAATGTACTGAATAAGACTCACATTCCTTTCAATCTTTTCCCAGATTTTAGCAAAGAGTATTTTGTTTCTTTAAAAAAGAACCACCAGTTAGGAGGATACAGACAGGTCAAGATGTATGCTTAGATATACATATTTCTTTACATAGAATTAAGCATAATGATTATGGCTATAGATTGCAGGAAAAATTCTCCAACTTCACCACCCCCCAGCCATACTCACTTACTTTGTGCCCTCTCAGATATTTGGTGTTCATTATGACTGACAATTCTAAAGACATTGTTCAGAATGTTCAGAGAGTTCAGAGTTTTTCCTTGCCAGGGAAACTCCTGGCCTTAGTTTACAGCCCTGAATAGGGCCATTAACCAACCATAAGCAATTACCCTTATTTTCTATACAACCTATATTTTTACTGTATTTATTGTCTGAAGGCACTGAGGTGAACGTGAGTACCATCTCCACCCAAAGCCACATTTGGTCAAAGGGAGGTATTTTCCATTTTATGACTTTCTTTGAATTGTTTAGATAAAAGCTACTGTACGCAAATAGACAGAATTTAACTATTGTATTAGTCTGTTGATATCTTTTTGGTGTCGTAGTTTTAACAACAATCAATAATCAGACTATTACAGCTAGGATTGTACACATACACTGAGGGGAGAAAACATTAGGAACACCTTCCTAATATTGAGTTGCACCCCCTTTAGCCCTCAGAACAGCCTCAATTTGTCGGGGCATGGACTACAAGGTGTCGAAAGCATTCCACAGGGATGCTGGCTCATGTTGACTCCAATGCTTCCCACAGTTGTGTCAAGTTGGCTGGATGTCCTTTGGGTGGTGGACCATTCTTGATACACACAGGAAAAACCCTATGTCATGGAAAGAGCAGGTGTTCCTAATGTTTTGTACACTCAGTGTATATTGTTCCTATTATATCTCTTAAAAAGTCTTAACTGGCCTGGACAGTAAAGCATTTGCCATAGTATACAGAATGTTATTACTAGCTAGTAGTTGTAGCCTAGCCGTGTGTGCCAAGTATCAGGGGAGGTCCCTCTAAAACAGCAGGCCACAGTGGTCCCATGTCCACATCAATACAGTCCTCCTAAAAACATCCAGGCTGTTCAAAGCCATGTAGACTAAACCAGACATCACAAATCAAATCAAATGTGATTGCTCGCATACACATATTTTTCAGATGTTATCGCAGGTGCAGCTAAATGCTTATGTTTCAGTAATACCTAACAATACACAACAATACACACACATCCACATAAATAAAAAGAAAGGAATTAAGAAATATAGAAATATCAGAATGAGCAAAGTCAGAGTCTGGAATATAAATATATATGGACAGTATATGATGGTGTGTATAGATAGTATATGATGGTGTGTATAGACAGTTAATGATGGTGTGTATAGACAGTATATGATGGTGTGTATAGACAGTATGGACAGTATATGAATAGAAAAGGTGTGTACAGCAGTAGTTATATAGGACGAACCTTGACTAGAATACAGTATATACATATAAAGTGGGTAAAACAGTATGTAAACATTATTAAAGTGACCAGTGTCACAACAGCAGCAAACAAACGGCTACAGCAGCAACAACATAATCAGTAACAGTAACACTCCCCGGCCACACAGTTAAGCACATAGTCATACTGAATAAGTAGAGGAGGACAACTAATAATATAGCTGCTCTTCACGCCTACACACACACAAGCATGCAAGCACACACTTACACACGCACACACGCACACCCACGCGCACACACACACACACACACACACACACACACACACACACACACACACACACACACACACACACACACACACACACACACACACACACACACACACACACAGACACAGACACAGACACACACACACACACACACACACACACACAGACACAGTTAAACGAATACATACCCAAAAGACAGTTGTGTGCACGCATAGACACTCACACACCCACACAGTTGCATGCTCTGACATAAAGACACACAAATACCAACTCGCACACACACCCCCCCTTCCCTCCTCTTCCTCAAAAATACTTTGTTTTTTTAAATAAGCGTTTATGTTAAATGAATAATTTCTGGCTTAAATTATAAATTTTTTCCTCTGTGGTCACTGACCAAAATTACACAGAGTCCGGGCTATTTTCTCCCTGTTTGAATTGTGTCCTGCATACTTGTGTCCCAGCGGTGTATTTAAATTCTCTCCCAGCACCACGGCCTTTCTTTAATTAGATCCAGTTAGTAATTAACTGGTGCATATTGTTTATTTCAGTTATAAGGGTCTGAAGGCTTTTATAGAATGGAAGGGACAGACCTGTACTTTAAGGCTTCAGACAATTAACGGTGGCCGGCCGGCCAGCCATACTGTAGGCCTCAGAGACGAGAGGAGAGTACATTGTTGCCCTGCTGCCACGTTACAGGGTCAGTGAGTTATACAGGACAAACTTTCAGTTTGGTTTTGTTTAGTGGATGTACAGACGACTCTAGACCTATTGTGAAATATGAGTCCTGTCACTCACAGTTGAGGTAGACGTTGCCCCTAACCACAGATCTAGGATCAGATTACCTTTAATCATTACCTGGCTCCTAACCTTAACCATTCGGTGCATAAATAAATATCCAACCTTGTATCAGTGGTTAGGGGGAACTTCTTCCTTCTCTGTCACACATCCCTGTTCCAGTCATATATAAAAAGTGTTGTGGTCTTACAGAACATAACAGTATTGGCAGAATGTATTCCTTCACCCTCACTGATTGTCCACTTTGTGTTTGGACCCCAGGAAGAGTAGCTGCTGCCTTGGCCGCAGCTAAGGTGGATCCCTAATAAATACAAATACACTTACCAGATAGACAGATGAATATGAGCGCTGGGTTTGGTTATGATGAT